GGTGAAAAAGACTCCTCTTTCGGCCAGCCTTCCAAACTTGCAAATGGCTCCGAATGGGAAAACACACACACCGAAGCACCCAAAGCGTCCTAACGCTCCCGATCTAAAAAGAAAAGAAAGGAAAAGATTTCTAAATGGCCACCCTGCCAGAATTGTACAGCTCCGCAAATGAAACCAGTGGGAGGGCCGTTACAGAGAAAGGGGGAATGGAAAGCTGCCCAAACTGCGATGATGTGGAAAGCTACGGCCCCCTCCCTACTCCTACTCTTCACGCGACAGCTGATGAACTTCCAGGTGCTTTTCGCCTCCGAGCCCACACCAGGGGCACACCTTCAGAAGCTTCCCGTGGGTTGCCTAGTTCAGCTGGTCAGAGTGTGGCGCTTATGGAGCCCCTGGATGGCTGTGGGCCTGGGGAGGGTGGCTTTTGATTTTCTTCCTGACTGCTACGGTCAGCAAGGCCAAAAGGGAGCTGGCACGCCCAGCAGGAGCCCTGAGTCAACTGCTTGGAGAACGTGGGCATCGACCCCACTACCTCTCGCATGCAAAGCAAGCGCTCTACTGCTTGAGCTAATTCCCCATGGCTAGCCTGCTTCCTAGGCACCAGGCAAAAAAGGCCAGGCCTCTGTGGCCTTAAGCAGACCACAGCCTGAGATGGGGGGCTACCCAGAGTTGGGGAAGGGGCCCGAGTCCCAGCCACGAGCCTCAGCACAAATACCAACGCTCCCTCCCTGGAGTGTGTCGGGGGGTGAGACTTAGACCCTGGAATGAGCACCAAACATCAAAAGACAACGCAGGGATAGATCGCTTGATGCTTGCCTGCTCTGGCTGTTGCCTCTGAAGCACCTGGCATCGGCTACTGTCAGAAGACATGATACTGGGCTAGATGGATGAGTGGTCTCACCTAGGAGGGCCGTTCTTATCTTCCCCACTTTCCTCTAACCCAAGCAAAGCCAGGAGCAGGCCCAGCTCAGGAACTCGAGCGGGACTCACACGGGCTCCCTGGCCCCTGGCACAGCATACAGCAAAACGACCCTGTCTCCGCCAGGATAGACACCCACAGACTCCCTGTTCAGACCAACGCAGCCCTTCCCCGCTGTGGCTTTCTCCAAGCCATCTGTGTGCTCTGGTCCACAGCTGCCATGCTGGCTGTGTGGTCTCATGCTTTCAGCTGAGCTGGTATCACCTGCCCCCGCCGCCCATCTCCTCATTGCCTTCATGGACCCCTGGGATGTGAGTAAGTCTGTACCTGAGTGGCACTCCCTCCCTGCCAATCAGCTTTGTGAAGACTAGCAGGGAGCGGGAAAGGGATCATGCTCTAGTGACAGCTCAGCAAGAAAGGGGCAGGTCCCACACTACAGCAGATCAGGCTGGAGAAGATGTGTATCGATCTCGGTACTTCTCCCACGCTCTTCCACTTGAGCTGACTGTCTCCGGCCTCCCAGCTAGCGCAAGGGGGAGAAGGGCTGGGGATGAAGAGCTTTCCTGCTCCGCAAGGCCTGGCTTCTTGGGAGGCCAAGCGAAGCGAGGAGAGGGATGGAGGCCACTGGAGGAGCTCATCCCACTGACTGTCAACGGCTTCTAAAAGCAGGGCAAGCAAAGGTACCATGGCTCCCTGGAGAATATGGGCATTGATCCTGCTGCCTCTCGCATGCGAAGCGAGCGCTCTACCACTTGAGCTAATTCCTTTGGCTTGCCAGCACGCCTCTTGATCCAACCATGCCATACCGGAGGCCACGCCGTCCCTGAGCCAGCCGGTGACTCCTTCCAAAAGGGTCAGGAGAGGCATGGCTGCCTGTGGGCTGGCTAGCTCAGCTGGTTAGAGCGTGGTGCTAATAACGCCAAGGTCATGGGTTTGAGCCCCATGCTGGCCACTCCGTGTCCTGGCTGGAGAGAGTGGCTTCTCCCCTTTTGGCTGACTGGTAGGGCTCGGAAAGGCCAAAATGAGAAAACCAGATGGGCTGAGTGGCTGGCAGGGAGCAGGCAAGAGCCCAGCTGGGGCAGGGGGAGGCTCTGGCCAACTCCTTTCCTCCCCTCTCTGGGCTCTTTGCTTGACCTGCTGGCAGGAAGGGACTTGTGTCCATCCAGTAGTCAATAACCAAACGGCTTTTTGCTTCTAGTTATATCTTCCCCATGTTCATTTATCCTGTTATAAGAGGCAGAAAGTCCTCCTGGAGGTCAAGCTTACATTCCCTGTTGATATTATTAACTGGTCATCTTCCCCCACTTTTCATCTTATGGCTTTGTTTATCTTACACGTAATTGTCCTTGTCATTGTTGTTGCTCTCACCTTTCTTAATTTACACTGAAGACAGAGTCTAGCTGGTGAAACAACATTCTTTTAACTAGGAACATATTTAACTTACAACATATTTCCAGTACACCTCTATTATTTATATACTTCCCGTACAGAGGTCACACAATAATATTAATTACTATCATGTTAGGAATTTGCATATGATACCTTACCTGATACCTTTTAGATACAGATTATGACAACAGTGAGTTGGGGAGATTAGTGTGTAATTTCTAATGAGAGTTATGGTATCCTAGAATCATAGTACTGGGTGGTACCCTGGGACGTCAGCTTGTTCAGTCTATTGCACTGATGGCAGGACTCAGTATTATCTCAACCATTCCTCATAGGTGTTTGTCTAACCTGCTTTTAAAAATCTCAAATGATGGAGATTCCACAACATCTCTAGGCAATTTATTACAATGCTTAACCACCTTGACAGTTAGGAAGTGTTTTCCTAATGTTCAACCTAAACCTCCCTAGCTGCAATTTAAGCCCATTGCTTCTTGTCCCATCCTGAAAGGTTAAGAAGAACAATTTTTCTCCCTCCTCAAAGTAACAACCTTTTATTTAGTTGAAAACTGTTAACATGCCCCCCCCCCACCCCATCTTCTCTTTTCCAGACTAAACAAACTCAATTTTTTCAATTTTCCCTCATAAGTCATGTTTTCTAGACCTTTAATCATTTTTGTTGCTCTTCTCTGGAATTTCTCAATCTGTACACATCTTTCCTGAAATGTGTTTCCCAGAACTGCACACAATACTCCAGTTGAGGCCTAATAAGCACAGAGTAGAGCGGAAGAACTACTTCTCATGTCTTTCTTACAAAACCCCTGCTAATACATCCCAGAATGATGTTCGCTTTTTTCCAACAGTGTTACACTGTTAACTCATATTTAGCTTGTGGTCCACTATGATCCCCAGATCCCTTTCCGCAGTACTCCTTCCTAGGCAGTCATTCCCCATTTTGTATGTGTTCAATTGATTGTTCCTTCCTAAGTGGAGTACTTTACATTTGTCCTTATTGAATTTCATCCTATTTACTTCAGACCATTTCTCCAGTTTGTCCAGATCATTTTGAATTATAAACCTACCCTCCAAAGCACTTATAACCCCACCTAGCTTGGTATCATCCCAACACCTTATAAGTGTACTCTCTATGCCATTATCTAAATCCTTGAGGAAGATATTGAACAGAACCAGATCCGATCCCTGTGTATCCCCATTCGTGTTGAGATACATATATCAAGATACATTGTGGTTCATATATCCATGTAATAACTTATAGGTCATTGAGGCCTGGTATGAATGACGCGTGCTTGACACGAGTACGTGCTGTGTCAGTTGGCATCCAAAACAAGAACTTAAGATTAAGAACTATTAGAACTGTTAGAAAAGGAGATTATTGCATTTGGGACATGTCCCTGGATGGAAGGTGCAGTGGAACCTGATGTAACATTTGATACCTTAGAAAACATGTTTAAGAAATATGTACAGCTGTACAAGCCTAATGCCAGTAAAAAGCAAACGGCCGTAGTATGGCTGTTATGGAAAGCTGTAAAAAGGCAATTGCATGTAAGGGGAAAATCTGTGCAGAATTACAAACATTACAAGAGAATTTTAAAACTTGCCAGGAAAATCTGGAGCGGGAAGTGATGCAGACACAGATAATGCAAACTCAGTTAGGACAAATGGGGAAACAAAATAGGGAACTGGAGAAAGGAATGATGGATTGGGAAAAGATTAAACCAGACAAAGATAAATTAGATAATCAAGTGATAGGAATGAA